GACTCTGGGTCAGATGGGGCAGAGGCAGTCTTTTCGGCTTCGGTGCCCGATTTCTTCATGGACTTGATGCGTTCCTTGTTGCAAAGCTTGAGGAGCTTGACCTCGCCCTTCTCCAGCTTCATAGCGGCATCGTCGCGCTCCTCGATGATCTTGTCAAGGTCCTTGGTGTCACCGGGGATCCAAACATTCTTGACTGAGTCGTTGAAGAGAGTGCGAATGCGGGCCTCATCAAGATACTCCTTGGGGACAGAAGTGAAGAGAACAGTGCGGGATGAGATGCGCTTGGCATACTGGGGAGTAAGAAGGAAAGCCTGTCGCACACTGATGTAGAAGATGCACTCGCGCATGATGGTGTAGATGACAAAGCCATAAACGAGCCAGGCAATGAAGCAGTGGGCGTAGAGCCTGTTCCTCTGAGTAGAATCATCAATGTTGACATTGGCGTATGAGAGAATCTCAAGCTGCTTCTTTCCGTTTCCACCAGTAGCATTGACTGGGAAGAGAACAGGCCATGTGAGGCAAAGACTCACGAAGCAGATGGTGCAGCAAATGCGAAGGAATCGAATGAAGAGGTATGCATCGAGACTCTGGTGCTGAAGAGCGTAGGCATCGGGAAGCTTCCAAAAAGCTCCAATCCAGTTGAATAAACCACTAGGTAGCGCGGGACTCCGTTCACTGCAAAAGGCGTTAGAATTGATATTCAGAGTTTCAGGGGCGCATTGCGACTTACTGCTCACGCAAGGAGCCCAGATACGTCCTAGGCGCATAGAATCGCCTATTGGACTTACGAAAGACAAGGAAAACGACGAGGTAGACCCCCGATACTATGAGCACGGGAACGAGAGTCGAAATCATGCCTGAGAATTGTTAGTTCGCATCGCATTATGAAGTATTCATTTATATAACGTACCCGAAAGGGATTGAGGCTGCGTTCCTCTGGCACCGCCCGAGTTGCTCGTGTCGGGGGCGGGGAGGTTATCCTCCAACCAACTGATGAAATTTCCCATGATTGCAGTTCAGTTACAGTTATCTTGAACTACGTCGAGGGTGGATGTTTTGGTATAAGCGCTTGCTTTGGGCGATTAGAATCGGTTGCTGGTTCTCGACTCGATTAATTCGACGCGCAACGTCGACAAGGTCGTGAAGTGAAGTTATTAGGAAGAAATCGAAGAAATTAAGTTAGCACTTGGGCCGCGTCGTCCAGCTACAGCTCAGCAACCTAAGGGAGGAACCTCAAGCTGTAGTGTACCTTGACCCTTCCGTTGGCGGGGGGCGGGTGGCCGATAGATTAGTTTGAGACGGGAGGCAGGCGCGTTCCAATCGAATCTGCGCACTTGCAACCAAAATTAGGAATGAAGAACGAAAACTCGAAAGGAGATAAAACAAAAGGTGGATGGTGCTGGCGGGCTATATGTAATTAACGTATCCGGTCCCGTCAATAGATACTTTAGTTAGATTAGACAGGGAAAAAAGTTGGTTTCCTCAGATGTTGGCGAAGGTACGGTAGCTCAGCTCAGGCTGTCAGGGGTGGGTGTGTATGAATCCAATGGGAGGAGGCTTGTAGCTTGTGGTAGTGCAAAATGCGACCAAAGACGAAAAGCTTAGCACTAACAGGACCCCCTTAATCAAGGTGAAGTCATGTCTCAGCCCAGCAAAATACAGCAGAGAATCGCGAAAAAGAAGTAAAAAAAAACGCGGCTGTTTGCAATTTATGCTCCCCCTGAGCCTGGAGGAATTGTAGGTTCTTTATACCGTCTTTTGAATTTCTCCATCCTGGCTTCTTCTATAGTTGCTGAGAATGTTATCATCAGATATCCAGCGTAAAGGTGTGATGCCATGCATCAACGTCAGGGTGACTTGACAAGCTGGCATGGCACAAGGTGCTGATGTCGACGTCACAGTGTAGCGCCCAGCCTGCAGGCTCATCGCCAAGTGCCTGAAGGTCTGCTGGCAGGCTGGGAAACACAAGCTAGACAGGCCAAATCCTGGTTTGGGGCTAGATCGACACTGGCCAATCGCTCTCTGGTGCACTCCATCATCAGCAAGCGGTAATTGAAGATGGATGGAGTGGAGGGTCTAGGCCAGAGGCCAGGGCCCCGGCACTCTATCTCTATCTGGAACCTGGGACAGCTGGCCTTGGAAGGCATTGCAAATCACTGCCCTTCTTCGAATGCAAACTGATAGTCTGCAGGTATGGACGCTTTGATCCCGGACGATAGCACGGTGACAGTAAAACGAGAAACCGGTAAAACTTGTGCAATACGCATGCGATTTGAAACGAATGGTAATTGATGGGCTGGGCAAATACGAAAAATGATACTCTAAAACAAGACCCTGTTTCTGAAGAGTAATTCATGATCCCATTGTCACCCCGAAAACTTTATTTCTGGAAATCTCCAAAAGGGTCAGGGCCTGCGTGCGAAATCAATCCTCCTCCTCAATTTCGGCTGTTGAAGCTTGGCTACGGGACAAACCCACTATCCGCTGCGACGACCTGGACACCTCATCCCGCTGCCCTTGCGCTACTGTAAATAGTCACGCTCACTAATGTTCATTTGGTGCTGCGTGATGCGATGCCTCAGTTCATGAAGCACGGGCATACGGACAGGGGGCTGCCAGGGAGACAAGACAAAATGAGGGAGCCGAAAAAGACCTTTGGGCTGTAACAGAGATGAGTCTGTGAGGCTGCTGCCGATGTTTTACGGCATCTCAAGTCTAGGCTTGGCTATTCTGTGCCTCACGAGTATCTCGGCCTCGATCTAGATCATGCATCAACGTCTTTTTGACTGTCGAGTTCAGCTACTGTTGTCGATTCTACTCTCGATCAAACAGAGGCACAGCCACGACGCTCTCCCGTGTTGCCATGCATGCATACACATACAATACACGCACACACGACCGAGGCGAGACAGCTTGACAGGGATCGACTTTCTATCTGGATGTTGTGATGTCAGTTGCATCCATCAACACCACATCCGCAACCACAATCATTGAACCCATCCGCCATCGAGTTAGTGGGCATGATGAGCACAAACACTCTGTCTCTGTCAAAAGTCAATGAATCAACCCCAGGGACGATCCGGATCGGAATGTTAATCGTCTCCCCTTTTAGGACTTGGGAGTGTTTGCCAAGACTGGAAATCTCCGCGACCTTTTGAGACTCTCATTCTAATTCTCATTCTCATTCCCGTGGCGCTACCATTTCAATTCATCACAAGCCCAACTGACTCCCTCACTTCGGAACATTCAGTCCCGTCCTCGACGCCAATGACATCAACTACATTAGCTTCGTTTTCTTCTTCCCCCGATCTCCAAGTTAAATCACGTCTCCCCATAACGGTAGCTTCATGACGATCTGACTTACAGTGTAGTCACTGTATCTGCGATCATAATTACCTTGTGAGCTCCATTGGGTTTGTTTACTTGGCTATCTCTCTTGATCATCGCACTACCGTTCATCGAGCAAGAGTCGCTCCATTCAGTGCCCCTGTCTTGATCATTAGACCATCCTTTGCTCTTTTAGTCTGTCAAGGTTGATGCCCATCGATGTCTTTGAATCTCTTCAACGACATCATGACTCTCTCACCGCTTGGCGATAGAGATAGATACATCAGTCATTTCTTCAGAACTGGCCTCAAGATCTGAGAACGAAAATACTACGATCGCAACTTCATCTACGTACCCCAGTCAATCATTCATTCAAAGGCTAGACTCTCCACAAAGGCATGCGCCATTCTTCATCTGGCCCTAGCGCATCAGGATGATGCTGGTTCAGCTGAAATGGTCTGCTCTGGCGTCAAGCTCTCACTCTCAAACTGGCACTGACTGGGCCGAGGTACGTGCCTGTAATTTTATCTTGACGCATCAACCTTCAAGATGTCGCGGTTTGACCAATGAGATCTCCTCTGACGTGAATTTATTGAATTCCCACATGTCTCCCTCAATTTTTGGCTTTGCTTTGCTTTGCTTGCAGCGCGGCCATGGCCGTTACCGCAAACGTCGCCTAACAAAGCATATTGCGGCTTCACAAATTGGGCCTCCCATGGCTGCGTCACTATTACGGACTGCTCTAGAACGTTGTTCCCGTCGGTAACTCGTCGTGAGAATCAAGACGAGGCCGCTTGGGTGCACAGCCCTTTGTTCAACTCAAGCACAGTCACGTGTGCACTGTCGTACGACCATCGGCGACAATCCCTTGGTTGTCCTTTGGATCTGAACGCGGCATTTGTGTTTCACCTTGTGGCTGTTTGCTTAAACATTCCTGATCTACTCGGCGTATGGTTGCCTCAACTGTTGCCGTGCATACAAAGTATGTCAAGTCTCATCGTAGAGAACCTTGGGTAACGAACCGTTGTTGATTGAGGCCTGAATCTGGGCTTGGAACACAAAGAATGGCTTCAATCCAAGTTGCCCTTGATGAAGCCTACATTCCCTCGGCTATGTATCAGAAATGCAGCACTCGACCCTGCATAATGAGGCGAGCTCCTAGTGCACGCAAAGCTGCGATGCTTTCTGTGTACAACCATGAACAGATGTTTGTGTGAGGAACCAACTTTTTACTGTTGTACCAGCTTGGAACGTAAGCCGAGATGCCAGCGTGCTCTCTAGCAGAGGGAGCGAAATGACAGGTTCGTAGATCAATACTCCCGGCTGGATAGCGAAGCATGGGTTCGCGCTTCATTCATATCGACTGTGGCTCGCCAACAAGAGTAGCTCCTTTCAAGACAAACTAGTTTATGAGGAGGTATGCATCATCTATCGATATTTTGATTCTTGGACAAACTCTTGATACTCAACAGTTGACCACGATTTGTGAACGATAAGGTTGGTTGTCTATTCCTGATACTGAAAGTTGAATTTCCAAGTACCTCAGTTGTTGATGGCCCGATGCACCTAATGTTCGAGGTATCCGATAGTATTTTACCATAAAGACAAAAAAAGGAAACAATTTGACCGTTTTCGAGTCTTTTGATTGCTCAAACAATGTCTATGCGCCCACCATGACCGCAGCAAATTGCACTTCCAACAAAGAACTGGTTTCTTTGTTCTTTGAATAGCATCACATCAATCACCCGGTCCTACAAGCGCCAACATTGTGACAGAACCCTAGAAATATTTCTCCAAGTCTGTTTAAGAATGGATATACTCATCTTTCTCTCAAAGAACAGTCTTCCTGTTCAAAACTCTGTTCCATTAATCTGTAACTCTCTTATCACTCTGTGCCAACACCTGTATTCTAGTTCATGATGGTATCTCTGCGAGCAGCTGGAAAGCAGAAGGAGGGCATCCAACCTCTCTACGTCCCTTCCAACGATTATGCAACCTCCTACAGATCCAACTGGTTTACCCCAGACAATGGCATCTTAGACCCTCAAGACCTTGAACTTCTACAGCACATCAACTGCTCCTACTTCTCGTCCGGCCGTCCTCCCACCCTTCTCGCCCTCAAGCAGCATGCCCAATCTCTCACCAACATCATCCGCAAGCTTGCTCCGTCTACTGCCACTCGTCCTGTAGGCACAGGGGACGTAGATTCTGGAAGATGGAACTTCCACAAGAACGAGGCTTTTGACTGGTTGAACGACCTCAACACTCCTTATGAGAACGATGACCCGTCTCATCATGATCCTCTCTTTGCTCTTCACAATGTCGTCAAGTGTGAGTCTGAAGTGCACGGGATCGAACATCGTTGTCCTTTGACACAAGTTGAGGATTTTGGTCCTTCGGCCAAGGAGGGAGATGTTCGTCGTCCTTACATGACACACCACGATCTTATAATGCATGCCAACGAGTGTCTTGAAATCATCGATCACGAGTACTCATCTACTGGTGGCTTAATGTCGATTCTTCCAACTGGTTTCGAAGACCCTGATGATAAGAAAAAGAACCATCCTCTTAGAGAATTGCAACTCGAAGCTGCTCGCAACTGTCTTCTTGGTCAATGGATTCTTCATCACCAACATCTCGTCGGTCGTATACACGAACTCGAAATCAACTACGGCAACGCTACCGATGTCCTTAAAGGAGAAGCCCTCGTCCCGCACCAGATGCTGAGCCGCGCCAGTGCCGATGGCGTCTCAGGGGGTCGCGAGATTGTCTATCCACAGGATAAGTACATCCTCGTGAACTGCGGCGAAGATATCAGAAGCTACATCCACCGTCTTATAGATGTTGCCGAAGCTCAGGTCGAGCAGAAGGAGAAGATCTGGAAGGCAAGCGGTGTCATTGGCGAACGAATCTGGAACGAAGAACGGGGCGGCAAAGTCTACGCCAAAGGCATCGTCCCTATAGATCTTCTAACTCGCTTCTACCGCATCAAGGGCAAGGGGCATCAGTCTCCCCTCTTTGTCATACCAGCAGCCGAGCAGCATCCTGGCGTGGAGAGCACACGACTCATGGAGGAGAGACCTACCGTGGTATCCATCGTGACCCCAACATGGCCTGAGCGGGTGTCTGCCATTGAGGCAAAGAACAAAGAGCGTCTGGAGAGAGCGGACAAGTTGGTGTCTGAGAATCAGTTCCTGGTTCGTGAGATGGCTGAGATGAAGGATAAATTGGCTGTTCAAAATTCAGAGATCAAGCGCATGACTGATCAGTTGGCTTGGTATGAAAAGCACACGGAAACTGTTGAGAATGAACCACAGGATTAAGGATGGTTTTCTTTATTGTCAATTGACTTCCGGGATTCGTGTTGAAGTTTGACGGATAATAAGCTGGCCAGATAGAGAAATACGGTCTTATATATGCACAATTTATCTGCAAATATTATAGCCTTGCTTTTATTTCCATTTGTTGGTCGATTCGCTATATTGAGCATACCGGGGACAGGCAGAATTGCTGCATTGTCATTACGTTGTCTAATTCGTAATCTATGGCCGTTTCGCCCAAAAAGCCTCAGGTCCAATATGAAGAATATATCCCTGATAACCAGAATACCAACATTTTATTGGTTCGATCTCTATGTGCTATCCAAGTATGAGGATATTATCAGGTGGTTGGTCGCGACCTGGGAGGGAAAGGGAGCCGTTCTCCAATGCGACAATCTGGTTTGGCTGATTTAATCGTGTCTGCTGCCTGTTTCAGTTGTCAGTATTAGTTTGTCTCCATTAACTATTGGGATCTTACCTTCTCGGCAATGGCATAGACACTAGCTTGTAGATGGGCTGATGGAATCAGGGGCATGATACTAGCATCAGCAATACGCAAGTTACATGTGCCATACACCTTGAGCTCAGGGTCAACAACTCCTCCTAATTCGAGGGGCATCATGGCTGCTGTCCATGAGGGATGCCTCTCTGTCGTGATCTTTTTCATGACATGCTTCATCAGCGTTTCATGATCTGTAGTATCAAACGCCGATTCCGCTTCAGGCATGAGTTCTTTCATGGCGTTGGTTTGGATCAGCTTCGTGTTCATTTGGAGACCAAGAACAATAATCTCGCAATCGATCGGGTCGGAGCAGTATCGTGAGTCCAGTTTTGGCAGATCGAAGATCGAAGATGATGAGGGACGGACGGTGCCGCGGGAGAAGGTCTTTTGAGCAGCGACAGTCAACTGCCCCTATGAGTTGGCCATGGTCTCAAAGATTCCTGTATCTTTGCTGAGTATTTGGTCTTGTAGAATCTTTTTCTGGACTTCGTAGCCCTTCTTCACAGAGTTGGGGGCATTTGAGGGAAAATTATTACCCAAACTCTTGTCCATGAACTTTTTCCAGTCCTTCGTTGCAGAGCGAAGACTCGGGAATGCAACCGTGTTTATGAGAGGTGCTGTCCAAGGACCTAAATCTGTCAGAAACGGGCACCTCTCTCAGAAAGATGTGCTCACCTGTTCTGTTCCGTATGTATTCCTCGGCAACTTCGTCATACACGTCGTCGGCTATCTCACCACTGGTGAAATATGATTCATTGCGATCTAGACCATCAGTATCCGACATCTGATTGAAGTCAGGTACTTACAGTAATAGTTGGCGTAAACCATGGGATGATCCTGGATATTATATCCAACGCCAGGAAGGTCAATCTTGACCGAAATATCGAGTGACTTGAGTACATCTGACGGCCCAATTCCCGATACCTGAAGTAGAGTGGGAGTGAAGATCGCACCAGCCGAAACAATTACCTCTCGGGTACAAGAAACTGATCTCGCTTTGGACTTGTTGTTTGGAGCAAACTATAATCCGGATTAGTGACCACCTCATCTTTTGTATCACCTGATCGTACCTCGACTCCCACAACTCTCTGACTCGAGTTGTGTGCACTGTTACTATCCAAAACAAGTTGTGTGACAGTCTGGTTGGTTGCAATATGCAAATTGTACCTCAAAGATGCCGAGTCAAAGTGAGCTTCTCTAGCATCGAACCTCATCTGGTTACCAGGATGCATGCTTGAGGAGAGGATCATGGCCCCTGCGGCTGTCCCATTGTTCACATCACCAATTATGGGTAGACCAAGCTCCGCAAAGCCGTCGAGAACGTTGGCTGTTCTCTGGTCAGAACACGCAAAGCTTTGGCAGTGTACAGAACTTACATGATTGGTCATAGAAGTACTGAGGGTAGGAGACGTGCACTGAGCCATTGTGTCCATGCGCAGCTGATTGAGGAACTATGTGAAGTTCCTGAGCATCATGAGGCTCAACATTGAAGGTGAACGTCTCAGACTACCACAAATCAGCCTCATTCTCAAAGATCGGTTACACACCTACCTTTTTGAAGTAAGGAAGTAGGTCATCCCAAGACCAACCCTTGTTACCTAATTTTTCGCAGCCGTCATAATCAGACACTGAGCCTCTGGACCAACAGAGGTCATTGAGGATGGAACTGCCACCAACAGCCTTTCCCTGTGGTATTCCCACACTCTGATTGCTGAGATAGGTCTGGGGCTCAGTGGTCAGCTCCCATTGGTATTTTTGCCATCCACCTGACCCGATCGTGCCCGGGACAGGAAGAAGGCCTCCAGGAATCGAAAGATTTCTCGCGTCGTCCCTGGAATGCGATTTGTCAGTTGAGATCTGGTGGGTTGCGAGAGACGTACAAAGGACCAGCTTCGAGAACCAGGACTGAAACTACAAGCACCATCAGTGAGGCTCGTCAAGTCTATGGGCATCAAGTACCTGCTGGGTTTTCGGAGAGGCGATTGGCTATGGTTAGACCAGCGGTACCACCTCCAACGATGATGTAGTCGTAGACATTACGCAGCTGTTCATCTGCAATGTCTGGGGTTACATGAAGGCTTTCAGCTAAGGGAAGAAAGAACAGGACCAGAAAGGCCAACGAGAAGTTTCCAAAAAGCATTTCAGGCGACCTGATTACGAGAAGATGTTGAGTGAGCTGAGACAACGTTCGAGATGCTGCGAGGAGTTGCTCTTCGGTAAACTCACCACCTCATCTAAATGGGAGAGTAAACAAACAAACACAGCTTATGAATACAAGCATTTCCAGCCCTCCAATCATTATGGGGATCTGCCACTGGCAGACAACCACCAGATGGAACTCATTCAGATCTTATCTCTAAGAACAAGAATGGAAGTTCCAACAGGAAAGAAGTACTAAACTGGGCCAGAGTCCTGAGGTCATCCCTCGTGTATATCTCCAATAACGTGATATCGGAGTGTCATGATCTCTGTATTAGGGCATAGAACTAGTGCTCATGTCCATGCTAAACTCGCCGGTATACCAAGGCATTCACATTCCTCATCTTTTTTGGCCTTTGGAGATTCTAATTTCTGGTTGCACAGCCCAACATTTTCGGCTGGCATACACTGAATTATTTTCTGATGAGATCTCCATGTTCACATACTTGGCAAAGTCGAGATCCTAGCGCTTGAACAATGACAGACTTGGAGTCTTCACCCAACAAAACTCAGATATTTTACACTTGAAGAAAAACCCCTGAGAGCTTTGCGTACTCCTCCAGAGTAGATATTCCTGCGGTTCAAGTTTCTCGTGGCCATTTGATTCATTTTTGTCTCTCGTTAGTTGTAGGGTAATCACTTGGCTCAAGACGCTGCTCCTAGAGACCTAGAACTAATAACAAGTGCGAAATACCCTCGATTGTTGCCTACCTTATTTAGGATAGAAGTGCATAGAAGCACCTTCTCTTGGGACTGGTTCGGGAGATAAACGAGAGATTGCTCATTCGTGACTGCCCTTCTCATCTGGAGAAGCGATGACTAAGCCATCTATAAGTACAACCTCCCTCAACACCAATCAAGATGAACCAATTGTCACCATGATCATCAATACACGATATCAGCCATGATGTTGTCATTATCAAGGCGATGGGTTGTTAATGCTCCCAAAAGCACCTTCATAGCTCCCAAGATACTCAATCGCTCTCTTCATCTTGCTCCCCCGTTCCTCCTTGACGACTATGTTTCGCGATATATGACACTCAGTTCCCGCGACGCAGCCAAGAAGCGTTCATTGGCGTATGCTCACCTTCGCAATTGTAATCTATGCCCAAGAGAATGTGGCGTAAACAGGTACGAGAAGACAGGCATGTGCCTCATCGGAGAGAAGGCGAAAGTCAATACAATCGCTCCCCACTTTGGTGAAGGTCAGTCCATCTGCTGCCCATTGCGCTTTGCTCTCGGCTCGCTGTACCTGATACTCCCTTGCATTTCAGGTCATTAGCTCTCCGTTAGCTATGTATTTATGTTCTTCTATTCAACCTCTGACTAAACTCATACAGAACCGTGCATTCAGGGGCACAATGGTAGTGGTTCCGTCTTTATGAGCGGATGTAATATGCGGTGCATCTTTTGCCAGAATTACGATATCGCACACCAGCGAAACGGGATGGACTTGACCCCTGAGGAATTAGGTGACTGGTACATCAAGCTACAGGAAGTTGGCAAAGTACACAATATCAATATTGTTACGCCTGAGCATGTTGTCCCGCAGGTGGCGTTGAGTATCCTCCATGCTAGGGACCAAGGCCTGACAGTTCCCATCGTTTACAACACATCAAGCTTTGACTCTCTTGCATCTCTGCAGCTGATGGATGGATTGGTGGATATCTACCTTGCTGACTTCAAGGTGTGGAAGCCAAGCACCTCTAAAAGGCTACTGAAGGCCGATGATTACGCTGCAACAGCCAGAGAGAGCATTAAGGTAATGCACGATCAGGTCGGTGACCTGTGCTTCACCGGGGACGGGATAGCAAAAAAGGGCTTGCTGATTCGCCATCTTGTTATGCCAGGCAAACAGGACGAAGGAGCCGAAATCATGAAGTTCCTCGCAAATGAAGTCTCTACAGATTGCTTTATCAACATCATGGAGCAGTACCACCCAGACGCCCATGTCGGCAAACCAAAGCGAGCAAAGTCAGACGGCAAAGAAGAAAAGCAGGAGGTCCGATACGCAGACATCAACCGAGCTGTCAATGCCCAGGAAGTCTCCTCAGTCAGGAAAGCCGCAGAAGAGGCTGGGCTATGGCGGTTCAACGACCCACCGGGCCACGATGGGTTTGCAATCTGATGAGAAGCAAGTCGCCTCTCATTTGACTGTTGGTTGCACTGCAAATGAATGAAACCTTGCTATGAGGCTGTCAATCTAAGCCAACAACGGGGACTAATAACGCCACCTCCTGGTCCGAACAAGCAATTGGCTTGGCTACCTTATTCAACCATGTGGAACGAGGGCAAACCAGATGACCTGATGTTCTAGACCCTACGACCTCTCCTTCATGTTCCTGACTGCCAACCGAACAACCTCCAAAAGCCAAGACTGACCAGTCTTATTGACGGCTTACGTTGGTGACTCTTTTAAGTGTGGCCACCAGGCACGGATCCATCAGAATAACCAACGACTATCACTATAAGAACTTTCTTTTAAAGAATCACTAGGTCAAGCGCCGGAACTCGCTGTTTCGCTTTGTTGAGACGAACACAGCGACAAAGCGAACAGACCCATCACGTACAGCGTAGCCCTCCTCACAGTGGTCTTTGTCATGGTGGAGAGGAAATGGGGGATGAGAGATATGAATATGTAGTAATGATGGATGCTGTTTCTCGCAGAGAGGATATTCCTTCTTTACTACTATCATTAACAAAAACTCAAAATCTATCAAGATGAATACAACTTTTACAAGACCTCATAGCATGGTGCAGCTACCACCGATGGATGCAAGAATCACTCCGCCTCCCGAGGAGCTAAACATTGAACCGTCAGTTTGCAGTTCTTCTTCACGAAGGAGACGTCGACGATCTTCCAGCTCCAAAAGCCGTCCTACACCAGAGAGTGTTAACCAACAGCCCTATGCCAACTCTCGTCTTATCTTTTCGCCCAGGCCTTTTGAAGATCTTTATATAGATCGAGCATATCTTATTTCTTGTCTCCAGCAGCAAGCTTGCCGAGCTACGGATCTCATGACACAGTATGGCGCCCTGGAAGTGCAGATTCGCAACCTTGTTGGCGACAAAGGCCGGCGAAAGCTGAGAAAACAGCTGGCTCTGCTGAAGTCTAAAGCCAACCAGGCCGCTGAACAGGAGAAGGCTATCTTCTCCCGCCTGGGTGAACTCTTTGTTGAAATCAGGAGCCGAGAGACTTGGGCAAAAACATGGACTGTCGAAAGCCCTAGTGTCGCATCATCCGTCTGCTTCAGTCCCGTTTCCTACGGCTTTACCACTCCTTTGACGCCTCTGAGCGGCAATTCTGAGCACTTTGCCCCTATGGGCTACTTTGGCGATGCGCAACAGGCCTATGAACCACCATATATTCAACAGGAGCCGACGCCGTACGGTCTGGAAACTGTCGACGAGGCCGCAGAGGATATCTTTGGTCCTGAATCTAGCTGTGATAGCGCTGAATCTGAGACCACCCCAACAACTCCAACCAACGTTGTTGCACCCTTCGTTCAGGAGAAGGACTATGGTTCTGAACTTGGAGAAGAGTTGAGTGAGGAGCGGTTTGTTGCGCTTAGGGAGAGAAGGCTTAGTCTTCCCTGTCTTCATAATGCTTGGCCTGAGGTTTAGGCTCATCAGTGCACAATTGAAAGGCGTTGCCGGATAGTGTGTTGATTTTTCAAGCATCGTACGAAACCACGGAATGATCATACGTGTTGATCCATAATATCAAGTTATCATCATGTCACTTACCATTGGTAGCATCAATTTGGCGTTCAATGTTTAGCATGTCTTAGTGTATATACTGTTTGTTTTCTTTTTCAAATCATATCGCTGATGCGCCAAGTATCCGTGAAATCCTTAAGCAAACTCTCCAAACTGTCCGTCGTCAAATCCAAGATCCTTAGCTGATTGCTTCTGCTGCTTTACAGCGTTTGCACTTGGTGGAGGTGGTAATGAGAACCCGCCTGACGAGCTTGGTCCAGCAGGTGGTGGCGGTAGCGCAAATGACTGAAGATCACCTCCGGCTCCTGAGCCAGATGAGCTATCTTGTTGTTTGCGTCTGCCGAACTTTGATCCGCCAAAGCTCACAGTAATAGTCTCGCCATCTTTGAGGCTGTAATCTCTATGCTCCTCCTTCTCCTTTGTCGCTGCCGGTTTGCTCTGTTCGCCCTCCCAGCCTAGCGCCTTTCGCGCCTCCTGAAGCGCAATGCTCAGATCAAATGCCTCGCTTCTCTCCTCGAAACCAATACCCAGGATAGCCTTTCTACCCTGGGGATCGCGCACCGTCACTGCAAAGAAGCGGCTGCTATCGAGGACCGGCTCAACAACACCGGGAGCGGTATAAGGCGCTGCGGCGAACAGTTGGCCTGATGAAGCATCCTCCAGCACGGCGTCGACTTTGAGCTTGTTGGTTGACGACTCGGATTCGTAGGCTGTCTCGACGACGCGCAGGCGGGCAGTAAAGATATGGCGCTGGGGTTCGGCGGTCCATGTGCTGGCAGAGTAGCCCTTTGTAGAGGTAAGAGGAGGAATGTTATAGACGTGGACGGCGTTGGCGACGAAGAGAATGCGCTGGATGGCGTCGTTGGGGAGGGCAGCGCCTGTCGCGGGATCGAGGAGCTCCATTCTTAGCTATGTTTATTGTTTGTGACTAGTAGATACTGGTCCTTGAGTGAATTGAGTTGTTGCAATGGAAGCGAATAAAAGTCAAAGATCAAAAGCTATAGAGGCCTGGAGTGAAGACGGAGAGAGGGGTGTAGAGATCGGAAGCGGTGGAGGGGCAGCGCGGGGCACTTTTGTTCGGGGTTCTGCTGCAGGGTAGTCAACTCAGTGGCTACCTCTTGATATCAACAGGTTACAGCACGTTACTGAACGATGCAACGCAACTGGCTGACCTTATTTCCAGACGAAACTAACACTACATTTCGATCTCAACCGCCTGAATTTGATCTGTTTCCATCGACAAGGCTGCTTGCTACTGCACATCAGAGCTACCTACGCTTCTATCTGAGGTGGCGCAATTACAGGGGACCTCAACTGTAGACGACCTGTAATTAAGCAGTGCCGTCACTTTCGGCCCCGCTCCCCACTTCCACTTCACCCCGCCAAACCAGCTCCGACATGGAGATTGATTGACTCACCAAACCCTTCGAAAATTCCCGTCTAAAGATCCCAGGATTGGGAACAGTATCATCTCAACTCCAAATACCTACTCCCCGATATCTCGCATATCCTCTATCATGGCCACGGTCGACGCCACAGGTCAGTTACCCTCTGCTGCGAATACCTCTCTCTCTGCTAACTCATCTAAGCCGCTACCCCGGCTGAGCAACCTCAAGCTTCTTCAACCTCAGATTTCGAGTCCGCCTCCAAACCCATCCGCTCCTCACTCCTCTAACATCCTGTCAGTATCGTCGAAACTTACCGCGGCCTTCTTGCCTCAGACCCGTACCTCACTAAGCCCGTCGCCGCCATCGAGTCCCTAATCGCTCTTCTCAACGCCCACCCTTCCACCACCGTTTTCGAGATCCTTGACACCGTCAAAGCGCACTCCGATCGTCTCAAAGCCTCCGTAGCGAACCCCGTACCCCTTTCCGCCGGAACAGACCTCTTTCTTCAGTACCTCGTCTCGTCTCTCCGTCAACAGGACGGCAGCTTTGAGGCCGTGAGGCAACATCTTCTCCGAAACGGTCGCCTATTTGCCCAGCGTGCTAATGCCGCGCGAGAAGGCATTGCAGACTCAGGATGGAGGCTGATTCATGAGGGCCAATGTATTCTCACACACGGTGCCTCGCGATCAGTTGTTGGGATTCTGGAGCGTGCGGTGCAGAACCTCGGTGCAGCCAAGTTCAAGGTTATCTACGTGCGAGAGGAAACCCGCGTTGATGAGAGTGATCGCGTAGTGCGCGAGCTTCGCTCAAAGGGAATTCCTGTCGCCGAAATCGCAGAGGCATCAGTGGCCTATGTCATGGGTCTTCTACGCCAGGTCGATATGGTGATTGTGGGCGCGGAAGCTGTCACATCCAACGGCGGTATCATCTCTCGAATGGGTACTCTTCAGCTTTCTAAGCTGGCTGCTCAAGCTGGTCTCCCGTTTTACGTTGCTGCCGAGACACACAAGTTTGCGCGCAAATTTGTCATGGATCAACGGGATATTGGCTTTAAGCAGGAAATCCTGGACTTCAGTGTTGATAACAAGAGTAAGGATATAGTCGACGCTGTCGACTTTACTGTACGTGGTCCCCAAATTATAGCCATCGATCAAGTTGCTAACAAGTTAAACAGCCCCCTGATCTCATTTCCAAACTCATCACAGAGAATGGGATTAAGCTTCCTGGCTATGTGTTTGAGCAGCTTCTCGATATCTATGGTAGTCTCAACGGTTGAGAGAAACAGTCAAAGCACTGGCAGCGCCGCGCCCATTCTAATGTCAGAGTCAGAATGGTGTGTTTTCATTCAACACCTCACCCTTTGGAACGATTGCGCTACTATCAAGAGTCATCACGAAATATGACCTCATGACGGTTTTGGGACAGGATAAAAGCTCCTTAACATGGCTGATTTCACAAGTGTCACCCTGAAACTTGGAACGGATACACATAACGGTCGGCATCCGAAGGCCACGACGTTGCAAGAGACAACATTGCTATCATCACAGAGTAGCTGGTTTCGGTATGGAGTTCAAAACATAGGAGTAAATAGAGATGGGTCGTGATAATATATTTGCTTTCTCAGGGAGTGACCGTCCTCCTTCAGTTCCTCTTGTGGCAATCTCGGCCCATGTAAATGATCAAACTCCGGCAGTTCACAATCCATCCCAATGGCTCGTTTATTATATGAAACTTTCGTAGCAACAAATGCTATGGTCGATGCCTAAACATCTCGGACCAATCTGGCTCCCACCCATGCGTAGGGATAGTTCCTCTGATACCAGTTGACGAAACTAGCTCGACCTGCAATGCGTGGGTGTGTGGCCCACGAACCACCCAAGACGACGTTATGCTTGCCATCAAAGAAGTCAGTCGTGTAGAGAGGATAGAGCGACATGGGCTCAAAACCCTCATGTCGCTCAAGTGGCGAGCTCGTCCATTCCCAGACGCCGCCCATCTCCGACTGACCCGCAAGCTTGTTGCCTTGGGAGGTTACTGGCATAGGATGCCAGTGACGGAAACCAACGTTGGCTTCCGTAAGGTCAAAGAATAGCTCAGAAGAGCCATCCTTGACCAAAGCGGAGGAGCTGGATGGCGGGGTCTCTTCAACGCCGTCGTTGACAAGGTGACTGCCACTTATTAGCCTTGAAATAGTAAGCGATTTTGATGGACTTACCCATTGACTGCAGGGACCGTCTTTGATAAGGTGCCCTCGGCCTCGGCTCTCTTCTGCTTGTTGACATGCGCATAAATGCTCTTAGCTTCTTCGAAAGTTGGAATACGGCCGCCCATCCATGCTGCACAGCCAGCGAGTTCGTCGTAAGAAGCAAAGACAGGCCAGTCAAGAGCGTACTTGAGAGGAACTAGACCATAGACCGTCCTGACAAACTTATCCTGGATGAACGAATCCGGGGCCTGGCTTGCGTGGTGGCCATTTCCATTAGAGTAGCCATTCAAATTTCCATTGGTTTGGCTGCCGTTAGTGGCACCATTCGTGTGAGCGTTTGGAATGGAAGACCATGAGGCTGGGATATGCTTGATCTTGGAGTTGTACAAATATTGGGCATACTGTGACTCTGGTTAGGGCTAGAGGACACCTCGAAGACGAATTGCACATACCTCTTCATTGGTGATAGCTCTGCCCTGAGCTTGGAAGGCATGGACTTTTGTCTGTCGCGCAGGCTTTTCGTTATCCCTGTTCCATAAAGTTAGTTACGGTTTACCCTTAAGCACACCGCTTGAGACTTACCAGCCAAAATGGCGCGAATTATCAGTACTATCCTCGGGATCATCCATCCCCAGAGTGATGGTTTGCTCAGGTATATCAAACCATAGGTTAGGAACCCTAGACTCATGTGCTTGCTGAGCCAGTTTTGCAAAATCAGGCTGTACCGTATGCGGAGGTGGAAGCGTTCTGTCACTTTGGAGCATCATATAGAGCAGGGTCTCGATATGCATCAACTCATGCTCAAAACCAACCCATATAGCTCGGCCAATGTCTCGAGGAATCTTGTCTTGGCCATTTTTGTACAGGTTCTGAAGACGAGATCTGACCCTGTCTTGGTAGGTCATGATCTCTTGAACTGATGGCCATTCATCGGGAATTTCAGAGTGAGTATGGCAGTGCTCAGGATTGTCCACATCAGGATCAATACCTCGCTCAAAGATTGAGTAGTAGGCTGCAGGCTCAGTCGGGGTATTGCCAGTTGTTTTTGTCAACTGGATATCGAGGAAGGTCGGGATATGACCAAGGTAGAAAATGCATGCATTTCGCAGCTTGATTGGCTTCTCCTGGAGCTCCTCATCCGGCATCATATCCTTGGTTACTACATCCCATGCTTGCCAAAGAGCTTTCCAGTCTTGGACTGTTGGAAGTGGTTCTGCGGCGTAGAGGGAAGGGATCAGGCTGAACGGCATACTGGACTTTTTCAGAAAATGGAGGCCTAAACAATTGTTAGTCTCGTGTCATCAGATTCCCTGTATTCTCGATATAACTTCAGCTTGGAGCATGTACCCCCACGTCATATGGGTCCCTTCCCGGGTTTGGCCTCATGCTGCTGGCTCAGCTGGAAAGGGAAACCCTCCTTTGGTACGATTCGCGGGGTAATCCGGGGATGCATGACCCGAAAGACCTCTGGTCGCGTGTTTTGGGTGGGACATGTATCATAAGAGAATGTGACCTACCATACTCATCTCCCCGGCTCCATTGACCCATCTCGGTCAAGCCTGCAAGTTTCCAGAGCCTGTCCTTCTCTGCCTCGGAATATTTGAGGCTTTGTTCGATCTCTATGCGCTCATGAGGCAAAACTCTCGATCCGAGAGCATCTGTTGGCCGGGTGGGAGAAAGGAAGGCCTGGTGTCGTCCACCTTCAACGTCATAAACATACTCACCGATCACCTTCCACTCATCCGTGTTGAAGGCCTCTTCACCAAGGATGCCATTGGCGTTTCGAAGACCATTCAGAATGAATCTACATGATGTCAGTTTCCAGTCAACCAGACAGAGCCAATCAGCTTACCGATGGGTTACCCCCTTGGAGTCTGTATTAGAGAACTGCGGCATTAATATCGAGTTGTGTGCTCAGCGCTGAATTGCAACGTACCGTTGTATGCATGACTATATAGATGTTAGTATTGCTTACAACAAGCAGCATTGTTGACTTACTAGACCTTTGCCGGGTTGCTGCAAGAGTCTACAGCAACGATCATGGAATCAGATGGTGTGAGTACTTCTGCAAACCCTCCCAAGAAATCAGCTGCACCGTCTCGGGTGAAGTTGCCTGCAATTCTCACGTTAGCACATTGAAACTTGAACGACCGGTGTAGACGCACCAATACTGGAGCCGAGGTGGATAATGCACTTTGAGCGGCTCGTGAGAGAAGGATGCTTGAGCCATTCCCTCCCATCATCGTATGTACCATGAAGGCCGTGGCACGAAACATATTTGAAGTCAGGAACCTGAGCCAGGGTGCGTTCAAGCTCTTTGAGAGATAAGTCGAGAGCAAAATACTGAATGGGCTTTTTAAGCTCTTCGAACGCCTGTAGAAGGAGACAGACCTTGCGGAGGTTTCTTTCTCATAATTAGTTGATGTGTCAAATCATGGGGAAATTGACCAACCCGCTTCCCAGCTCAATCACCATGGAGCCCTCGGGGATCTGACTGGCGATCTCTGCAGAGGACTTCTTCAGGATCTCAATCTCATAGTTTGTCAAGTAATACTCATCCAGATACGTGATCTGGAGTAGTATGAGTAACAGCAAGGGGGATCTCTCAACAGAATCAACATACGTCCTCGAATATTTGTAGGCCCTTCTCGTTGTATAGAAGAAGGGTTGGAAGCTTCCTTGGGCCCTCGTCAGGGTTAAACATGGAAGCAATTTGGTCTTTCAGGTTGATTTCGACATGTTCACCACGGATATCAATAATACTGGGCAAAGCTGACGATGATTTGGCTGTCGTCGGCTTCACCATTTGAGGGGTAGCTGAAGCCGTTGTGATGGAAGGCATTGCAATGCAAACACAGATTTAACAAACAAAGTATGGCTTCAGGGGGAAATTTGATGCTTGATAGAAGCGGATGGACGGGGAATATATGGTTTATAAGCTGCAACAAGAATCGTCTCAAAGGGCGTGGCTCTTGTTAATAGTCCTTCCCACCATCTCAATAGCTCCAAGGTACCTGAGCACTTTGGCCTCCTCAGTGGAGAATAGCTCGGACGACTCCTCATGCTTTGATCGAACCGGCCGGTCAGGATATCCAAACAACGCGGGGGATGGTACACTATTCTTAGTTTAGCGAATCGTCATAACATCGAATGGTCTAACGATGAGACTCTGCGCCAGGAACCACGGTCCACTTGGATCGCAAGGGGAAGCCGGCTGTGCCTCAAAGAGAGCAAATAGCCCTCCTCAGACAAGCTTCGGCGCGGCGGATGTGTGCTACGTATGTACTGACGACCTGCTGCCTTCTCCATGTGAACGATTCTGAAATAAGTTTGTCATGACATGCATTCTTGAACTAGAAGACATCAGCACTTGTGGAGCGAGAGTGGGAGAGAGACGAGGAACTGGCAAATCAATCGCGAGAGTCAAGCCCCACGCCCCACGCGCGTGGGAGCGTGATGTCGATGTGGAAGCTCACCAGGGCAAGTCTGAGCTTGAGCTTTGATGGGTCGAGAGGCGATTGTTCTGTAGAAGAAAACGTTGGTGTCAGAAGTTCTAGTCGATATTGGGGCTTTAAGTATCTATCAATGTTGCTCGTCGTCTTGCATGGTGTTTCGGAACTTCAGCCTTATGTTGCGTGATCTGAGAGCTTACCCCAGATGTTTTGAAGCAACGAAGATCCGTACCTTAGACTGTCTCTGCTCAACCAAGGTACCTTGACCTGCCCAAATCGATTCTCTGCAGAGCTTCGGTGCATTGAGCCGCAAGGAGCAAAGTACTGTACATATGTAAGCCCTGCCTCGTAAACCGGTTTGCACGGGTCATCGACTTGTCTGTTGTCGATTGTACATGGGACGGGATTCGCTCATATCTCGATAAGATGGGACTTATTGAAGCTGGTTTGTGAGGAACCCCGCGAAGCTGCCGCAGATGCCAGCTCTAGGCCCCTCTTGGTAGCTGGGCTGTCCACTAAGACATCTGGATTTGGAAGCAGTAGACAAGGGGTGAGCACTAGGCGCAGTGACTTGCATTTGCCGGTCTTGGCGATCCATTTGTGACTTGATTCGGACGTCATGCTATAAGTCAGCGGGCTCATCAAAGCTTTGCTGTCGTGTAACCTCGAAGCGTCGGAAATGATGAGTGATCAGTATTGCCGAATTGAAAGCCGGACGGCCGCCTTATTTCTCAGCAGTAACGTCAGTTGTGCACCGAATCTATGCGATTCGGGCCGTTATGTCAATATTTGTTTGTGAAAAGATTCCATATCATTTCCAAGTATGCATGCACGTCTGTCAATGGTGTTGAGAGTGGAGAGAAGAAAACAAAAAGGGTTCCATTGATTAATAAGAATCGGCTGACTGAAGTGTAGATTGTTCTTGGAAGGTCCAGCCAACGCAAGGAAAGTAGACTTGTCCTCGCCTGATGCCAAGAAGCCTCCTGCCTCTGCCTCTTTCCCAACGCTGCAGGACCTTGAACCCAAGCTTCACTGCTAAAACTCGCTTCTCGTTGCACAGGGGTTCCTTAAATAACATGCCAGACGTCAAAAGATCAGTGTTATACCGCCAGTCTAGCTGAAATGCAACCAAACCTCTATCTTATTCCGGCCGTCAAGTCATTATACATGTATTCGCCGTGTCGAAATACCTAGGTACCAAACAAAATTCCAAGACCAAGCACATATCTATTTTGGCAAGGTAACCCTCAAAGAACCCGCGCCCGAGAAACCTTCCAAATCATTCAATATCCAACCCATCCGTTCCGACTCCAATGTCTCAATATTGTCCAATAAGAGCTTTGGTGTATCCATCGCTAATGGTCCTTCGTCAATCCCAGGCAGCGAGAGCTGGCTCTTTGCCGTTGAAGAGTTGGGCTTGGGGGGTTCCTCCAGCATGGGTCGGGGCGAGTTCATCATTTCCAGAGACACTGACATGGGACTTATATTTTTGCGGTGCGTATCGTATACTTCTCGTCGTTGCTTATCTTGCGATCTTGTCTGGTTGGGTTCGCCACCGTTGCCAACTCCGCCAAGCCTCAGACTGAGTGATCCCTGCGTCGAGTTCTTCGCCAGTGCAAAATACCGATCTACCGCCTCAAGATTATCCAGGTATCTTTGAGCGCTGGGCAAGTAAGTTACAGCTCTTCGCAATGCCTGGCATGCTGTCCCAGCCTGCCCCTGTTCGAGTATACTCAAAGTCCCCCCCGCATGTGGACTCTCAGCCTGTTCACTCCTCGATCGATGGCTCGTATCCATCTGCGGAAAATGGTGAGCGTAAATAGAAATGAACCCAGCGAGCCAGAGGGAGAATATCGACAACGAGGACAAAGGCAGCTTTTCTTTGCTGACACTAACCAAATCGATTATGCTACGAGACGATTGGAAGACATCTTCTGCGCTCTCTTCCCAGAACCGATCTGGCGCAAAGTTGAGCACAGTTTGGTTGACCATTGGGGTCCCATGAGGCCCACGGCATCGCAGGGGCAGAAAAGGAAGATATTCTCGATTGAGAACAATATGGCAAACTGAGGCCAGCATATGTAGCGACACGTAGGTGTTGGTAGCCTGGTGATTATCGTGCCGGTAATAATTCTGTCGAGATAATGTGAAAGTGTCGGGGAGATCTTTGCCGAACGTAATCACCTTCTCTCGTAACTTATAGAAAGTCGATCTGGGGTTCCACGGGGGATGCGTGTCTTGTAACCGGCCACCGATCGAACTGTACCTCGAAATCTCGCCCCATATCTCAACCAACTTGGCAAGTCGGCTTAACGTGCTATTATCGTTGATCTGAGGCTGACTGGATCCTTCGTGGGGTTGTAATAGTCCAGTGTAGACTTGAAGAGACAGATCAAAGGCCATCTCAGAACATGGCAACTGGATCAACATGCTCTCGACTGCAATACTCAGCGGTCGCTCACTCCCGCAGCTCATCAGACGATCCAGAATAAAGCAGCTATACATCGTCCGTCTCCGCGTCTCTCTTATTATCGCTATCTCCGGTGACTTCTTCTCAAATCGTTTTGTGTCAGGCGCTTGGTTTTCCAGTATAGCCATTCGCCGGTCATCTTGCTCTAGTCTCATCAACTTGGCCATGCGAATGGCTACCCCAAGATACATCCAAGCACTGGAGTTGTTCTCTTGGCTCCACTCGAATAATCCAAGCATCAGGAAGCACTGTATTCTTTCAATCGTGAGAGTATCCATGACTGTCCTGAGGGGACCCAGAGCTGTTGTAAGTGCAGTCGCAAAGAATTCCGAGGCGTACAACGGCCCAGACTTGGTTTTTGAGGTGGATGGTCGGGAACCTGAGCTGTTTTGACTTGGTAAATGCGTCACATATCGTACCAGATCGGGGTGAAAACGTGCTGTAAGCATCAAGATACCAAGCAGGACCAAGTTCGGCTCTGATGAATCCTCATTCTCCTGACCTGATCCGCTGCTCATTTTCTCCTTCATAGACGGCAAGTGAAGAAAGGGCAATTCTGTGGCATAGTGTAGTTTGTAAATGTTGAGCAACTGATCCCATAGTTCCGTCGTTAAAAATGGATATGAGAGAACTCCGGCTGCGTATACTGCTGATCTTTCACTGCTCCATTTGGGTATATCATCTCCCTTTCTCGTTCGCTTCTTCTCCTGCTGTGGTTCTTTTTCGGGTTTCCCTGTTGTCGGGGAATCGTTTCGTTTTGGTGGAGGAGGAACTGCTTCTGGATATTGGCACTGATGTCCTCCTTTAACACACGTGTCGCACGGGCTGTTGCCGCCATCATTGTCACACTTGATCTTCGATCTCCGACATCTCAGACAAGCAATGCTAGATCGGATCGGTTGTTGGATTCGTGATCCTCTCCTTCCAGCCTTCTTATCAGAGGTGGCTGGCGTGACTCTACCCGGAGAGTTATCATCACCGGCGTCAGCTCTAGGCTGCTCTTCATCTTGAGTATGCCAGATTGACGCCGGTGGCGTGCCCTCTTGGGCTGAGGATAATTCTTCGATCTTTCTTTTTGAAGTTGCTGAAGCCTTGGGAGATGCGTTGGATCCTTTGTCACCCTCTGGGTCTGTAGGCGAGAGTATAGACTGAATGCGAAGCTGAGAAGCTATTTTGCCAGTTTCGGAGCTCTTATAGAGCTGTCTTTGTGGTACAGAGTTAGATTAGAGATTTGAGGACTTATTTCCAGTAATCACTCGAAACAATTATTTGAGCAAAGGCTCTAAGAAGAAGGAATAATCTTTCAAACAGACACCAACTCCTTTGGAGATTACATCAATGTTAAATAGCGAAGCAAGAACCAGCCAGTCGACACTTTGAATGGGCCACAATAGTACTTATGGAAAACTGACCCCAGGGAGCTACGGATCTAACAAGGATCACAAGCTGCATATAGAAAAGGAAGACGAAATCAGATCCCCGGGCCGACTTTCATATTGTCAAGCCGACTTATGAGATCCCATCATCGGTCCACGCACCCGATTGACTAGTCCTGGGATGGTAATATCTCTACCGGAAATGCATAAATCTGGGCAAAGTGACAGCCGAGAAGCTACTAGACAAGGTATCGTGGACCCATTCCGGCTCTCACTGTTGCTGAGATGTAGTCTGAGGGCGCCGAAACAAGGACTTTTCATGGGATAATCATGTCCACCAAAAGGCGCCGGTTACGCTAGGAAGCAGGGAAAACTAAATTAGTGTATCAATTCCGAATGTCTGTAGCCGTAAATCCGAGTTTGAAATTTCTGTAGCAGAGCCTCAAGGATCGCACAACTTTAAACGTCTAAGAGAACTTAGAAGTGACGACAGACTCATTGACAGTTCAAGTTACTTTGAATCGTCAGTCTGTTAGTGGGAGTTAAGTTCTTCACTATGTTCCTCATAGCCGACTTGTGTGTTCTTGCGCAACTCTTTCGACATATGTCGTTGGAATTGCTCGGGGACAAGATTTATCCAATGGATAACAGCTTCTTTGGGCCAAGTCGGCGCTGGCTGGGGTCCTTGGAGGTTTACAGTAGGTACGCCGATGTGGGACTATATGGGGTTGAAGATATGGAGAACATCTCGCTACGTAATGATGGGGTAAAACAACATGATAAAAGAGACGAAAGTGCCCTGTGGGTTTGTTTTTGAAGACGCCGGCGGCCATCGTCTTAGCCTGAGTGGGGGTCTCTTCTCGATGTTGAATTGACGTGGATGAGCCTCAACTCTCCGATGATAGTCCCCAGATGCCGCTACAACGCTTTACAGGGAGATCAATTATCGACCCGTACAGTTATATAGTTGTCAGGTCAATTGCGGTAGTTTATCGAAACTGTAAACAATACAGAATCTATAGAAGGGCAAATGAAATAATGGATATCCAATATGAATGAATACTGGAGCGGATTAACCCCGTAGTTTCTTCGGCCGAGTCATAGTATGATGATGACCGTAACCGGCAACTGAAATGAGAGCGGCAACTTATTACCAATTTATATCCAACTACAAGACACTCCAGATTTGAAAATCTGTCCTTGGGTATCCATAGGGAACCCATTTACCAAAAGGTATGGACGGCTGAAAAAGTCGGGAATAAGTCTATGGGGACGGGAGACAAGTTCCACCTGTGGGCACGGAGGCGGAAACGGGTTGAAGCAGGTCAAAAGAGAACAGGACTCTCTGGTCAGTAGAAGACAAAAATAAATAGACAAACTTGGGATATTTGAGGGCCAATTTAGCACGCCTTTCCCTAGTGTTTTTTGCAACCTGCTTCAATTGCCTCAAGCCAGATAGACTGATTACCTAACACATCTTCTAAGGTATCCAAGATAATAGGTGTTGCCTCTCTACCTCTCAAAGTCAAACACCCGGTTCATCATATTAATCCCCGAAATGCGCCTCAATATTTGCGTGGACATCCATTTTACGTCTAACAGCAAAAGGCTGCCTCCCAAAAAGCTCCTGAATGAATGTCACTGCCAATTGCCGACTGCCATCAAGATCCATGCCCCGTTACAACGCCAAGATGGACTAACCTCCAAGGGAGTCTGGACCCTCTGAAGCAAAGCCAGGGACTTTAAGCTTAAGTGCTTCGCCCATGTGCACACGCAATCAACCTCTAAATTGTCCTTTAATCCCATCATGAGACGACAGTTAGTTTTTGTTGCCCCAACAAAGAAAAATAACCTCTTTAGACTCAAAATTAACACGGAATGGCCAGATCTAGATCAATGTCACTCCCTTCAAGTGGCGACACCGCGATGCCAGGATCATTTGCTCCCCCCAGCCAATGAATGACGTCGATCGCCTCAAGAGGCCTCACAGCTCGTCAATAGAGCTTCTCAGTTCGAATTTAAGCGCCGACAGACGCCCACCCTCTTTGATGAGGATGCGCTAGATCACACAGCTCTTCAAATCAAGCTCCTGCAACAGCCGCCCAAGTTATAGCTCTGTCGCATTGCATTGACGCGCATCGCGCTTGTCTTGAATTGTGTGTATTTCTTGCTGGTGGATCGAATGATGCTGCTGCTGTCATAAACCTGAACCAACCTGAACCTGACCCCTCCATCACGTCTTGCGACTTTCCAAGTTCCAGGATTTCAACAACTCTCCCCTTTTCTCGTCTTCTACTCGTTATCCTAAACCTATTCTTTTTTTTGTATTGCATAATACCAAGATTGTATCTTTTTCCACATCCATACAAATCCAGACCAGATATTCGCAATCATGTCTTCTGGACATAATGTAAGTCCAAAAACACGCTTCAGGCGCATCATGGCATGCCCATGGCATTCTCCCTCTGCCGCCACTCATGGATACTGACAAAATCTCGAACAGGATCCGAAGCTCCTCTACGCTGTAGAGGGCATCAACGCCTATCACATTTCCAATGGCAAAGAGCAGTCCCTCACTCCCTCAGGACCTCAAACCCTGTCCCTCCTCATGGTCCCGACCTCATCTGGCTTTGTCGAACCTTCGGGCAGCGGTTCTGATGGAGAGGAGGACTTCTACCTGCACCTCCACCTGCCGCCTGAGCTCGACCTCCCTCTTCCCGCTACGACCCAGATCTACCACCAACCACCTACGAGCTATTTGATTCCTCGCTGGGATCTCGGCCCCGATAGCGGCGCTTTCACCAGGATCGAATTCCCTCCCTCCAACTCCAGGCCGGGTGTTCAGGAAGATGTCGATACTTTCGAGACCATCCTCGCCCAGTGCACTGCTTTCCTTGAAAGAGCAGCTCCTCCTCAGCCTCCAAGACCCTCCGAGAAGGCCCAAGCCAAGGCGCGCGAAGCAGCCGGCGAGCAACTCCCCGCTTACAACCCAGCTGACTACAACCCCGGAGAAGGATATGTCCAGGGCAGCCATAGCTCACATACTGGAGGCAGGATTGTCCTTATCGATGAGGAAGACGGCAGTGTCCTTGGAGAGTTGACCGATAGCTATCAAGTGGTGGAAGACAGCAAAATCAAACCCGGCTCCAAAGGTATGTACTGCAAATTTGACGACCATGCTTTAGGTTGCTAACATTGATACAGAGCCTGTCGAGATTGCTCTTCCTACCGACGGTGGCCAGAACATTTCTGTGCAACCTGTGTCGCAGCCGTGGGCTGAGATGGACATGCACCCTGCCTATAAAAAGTCAACCATTGTGAGCAGTGCAAGCAAGGCATCTCGCCTTATCGTCACAACTTCCGATGTTGTCTCTAGAACCCTTCAGAGCCAAGCCGACAGCTTCACCAAGAACACAAAGCCTCTCGCCAAGCCTGTGACATTTGCGCCTACAACACATGCGCATATTCGCCGGATCAACAACTTCTCCAACAAAGCAGCCACATTTTCGGCAACTACTGTGGGCACTATCGGCAACATGGCACAAAACCTGGGTGCAACTGTCACTCGTCGCAAGGATGGTAGAGCCAGGGGTTATGACAAGGACGGCAATGTGATTGATACCTATAAACCAGGTGTGCTGAACAAGAGCCTGATGGCCTTCAATACTGTCGTTGACGGTATTGAGCAAGCCGGTCGCAATCTACTCACCGGCACATCATCCAGCGTGACAACTGTTGTCGGCCACCGTTGGGGTGACGAGGCTGGTGAGTTGTCGCGCAATCTTGGCGGGGGTGTCAAGAACGTGGGACTTGTCTACATTGATGTGACAGGTGTATCTCGACGTGCCATCCTCAAGAGTGTTGCTAAGGGCATGGTAGTTGGCAAGGTCAAAGGTGGTGGTGAGATCATCGTGGGAGGCACTGATAACAACCCTAACTTTGAGACAAGAGAGGGCAATGGCCAGGGCTCACACAACACATATGGCGACAATGTGAGTATCGCCAGTGGATATGATCCCAACGGTAAGAAGCCTGCCAAGGGACATTACTGAGACGCGACGATTTCGGAACAGCGAAGCCTTCTGACTTGATTTGGCGTGGTCTATTTAAACATTTTGCTAGGCGGTAATGCGAATCGATCATTTATTAGTTCTTAAAAGCTGTGAGACTCTAGCAGAAACATTTCAATTGAGCTGTGACGAATAGTGTTACCTAAACATGAGGTTTGAATAAGGTACTGGTGTAAGTGAGTCGGTAGCACAGTATGAACTATCAAGTTCACGGTAGAGCGCGGGGCAGCTACGATCTTCGCGTCGCGCTCTCAGGAGCTTCCATCACATCGAATTCTATAAAATATTGATTTCTTCCTGTTACTGTCGCGCTATGTTAAAACACCAAGAGCTCAATAGTCACAATAAACGAGAATCCTTTGCGTCTGAGCTTGGATTTGGCTGAACGCCCGCGATTGGTAGTCAAGGCTCAAATTTGGAGCTTTAGATAAATCTTCAAGATCAACATCATCAACCCTACATAACAGACGTACGACTGCTTGGTTCATGTGCCGTTTTGAGCTTCTCGGCGTCATTATAATTATCTTGCGCGATATCGGGAACTCTATGAGGTCAAGAAAGGCTCAAGATCGGTACGTTTCCTACCATTGTCGTTCTATAAAGCATCACCGCTAATCATACCAAGCTCCGAACCAGAACCAGAACCACAGCCATGCTCCACGAAATCCTACTCTCCCTCTCGGGACATCCCTCCCCCCTCCTACGAACCGATGCAACTCAGCCTCATGCACTCTCCGGCGTATCGCCAGCCGAGCGCCAACTCCTCGCCTCAGCCGCCCACCTCAGCGACGTCCACATCAAACTCATCAGCTACACGGCCCAAGTAGCTAACTCGCACCCCTCGACCATCTGCCGAGCCGTCGCAACAGCCATAGACTCCATCCATCTAGCAGCCTTCCAGCGCAAAGTTCTCGATGTCGAGGCGAGCATATTACAAGATGACCCGGATCTGGTGGGAGCTTATAATATTGTGCCGTTGACGGCGGTGATAGGCGAGTTTAAGGACTGGACTAGGAGGATGGAGTGGCTTTGGGAGATGGTGCAGTTCA